CGGTAAATCTCCATCACGTGCGTGCTTTCACATTGAGCAGCATTAACTACACAGAGCCGGTGTTCACTGATGAGCTGCGCAAAAAATCGCGCGAATATGAACGTGGTTTTGCGCAGCTCGTCAGTGAACAACGGCTCTGTGTAGTTAATGCTGCTCAATGTGAAAGCCCGCAGGTGATGGAGATTTACCGCTGATTACAGAACCGGCTTTACTGATAAGATGCGCGTTAAATATCGCATGCGATTTATCGTGCAGTCCTATTAATAATGCATGTATGCATATGCTAAGGGATCGTCTCTATATATGTTCAACATAACATCAACCATTTGAAGATGCATGCATTCTTAAACATGCAATTCTGGAGAGAGAGAAAAAAAAAACTCCAGACAAGTAACATTCCACATTGCATGAAAAGGTGTGGCAAGAAAACCGACAACAAAGAAGATCTCTTTAAAACTAAACCTGCAGGAATAACCCAGAGTTTGTGGACATGTCTCTGAAAAAACAGCATGTGATTCTCATTGCATTACACATTTCTTTGGTTGTCCTGACTGAATGACAGTCAACGGGGTTTGACTTCATTGACAGATTATTGGGCGGAGCTAAACATGCATGCTCGACAAGGAAACATACAAAGACTATATGTGATCCCGTTTACATTTATACGGATAGATAACTCACAAATGCCACTCTTGTTACCACTTTGCAACGCTTAAATGTTTGTATAGTAACATATTAAAGACACAAGCCGTATGTCAGGCCTGAAACCCCACTGACATGAAAACTATTTCTACTCACAGTGTAGCACGCGCGATCAGCTGTCCGGAAAGCGAACAGACGTCAGTCCTGCGCTTTAGAGACCCATTCAAGCCAGTTGATTTAAAAAACTTGATTTAATTTGTGTTTAATTTAACTGTATGAGACAGAGAGGTTTAAAGTTAAGGCTGACTTGAGTTCCTCCACGTCATCGAGATGACACAGCCCTAATTCTAGATCACACCCACCCACCGTTCAAACCTGTTATACAAACACTTGCATATGCAACTGTAAGTGATTTGACAACACTGGTTTAATTACGCAGACAACCAGTAGGCCTATATGAACTTGAAATAGATCCTCTTAAGAGTTATTCGTGTAAACGCCATACACCGTTATAAATGCGTTTTAGCATCAAAGAAAATGAAAATTATTTTGCGCCTTCAAACAACACGTATGCAGTGAAAACGACTTCTGAGCTGTACATTTAACGCTGGTAATAATCACTCACTAGCCAGCTAGGAAGTCTAGATCAGCGTTCACGTTTGATTCTTTATCACGTGATCAATGCTAGTGCTGTCCGATTCGTGAGTGAATCACTCTTTTGAACCGGTTCTTTCTAATGAACCAGTCTGAATTGATTCGCAACCCAGGCTACATGCAAATCTCAAGTTATTGCTCTGAATTGATTCGCGAATCAGTCTGGATCAGTCAGCCAACTGACTCACTGGCTTATTAAATGGGTCGTAACTCGGAATGGTTACATTACCACTATTTCTGCCATATATTTAGGTCAATTTAACTTATGTGTAAACAGTTTACAGAGTTACAATGGACATTGAAATGGTTATGGGTAGGGTTGCCAACTTCAGAAAAGGAAAATAAGGGACAATCGTGGTTTTTCATAGAAAAATAGGTGTACTTATTTTTCTGCACAGTCAAGTTTCCATTTTTATTCATTATATCACACACACACACACACACACATATTTAGATTATGGTTGATGTTTTAATTAATCTAAAAATGCAAAGAGCTTTCTGTGAAGGTTAGGTTTAGGGGTACGTTTGGGGTTAATAGGTAGGAAATATCATTGGTTCAATATAAAAGCAATGTAAGTGAATGGAAAGTCACCTTAAAGGTACAAAACATACGTGTGTGCATTATTTTGTGTCTGCCTGCTGCTACACTGCAGATGTGATTAATAATTAGGGCTGCACGATAAATCGCATGCGATATTTAATGCG